GGGCAGTCTTGTGGACCACGGGTGCCACGAGGTGCTCGTGGTGCACGTACTGCTTGTGGAGACCAACAGGGAACACGCTGGCCATGCAGGCAGCGAAGCACAACGGCAACAAGATCTATTCGTGGATTTACAGATGCATTATATCCATGTCGGATAAGTACAATGCAGCAGCAGAAACCGAAATTCCAAGAAACTTGGAAACGTAAACGAACTTGAATAGAATAATTTTGTTTTTGTGAGCATTTTAATTTTAACCTTTGTGACCGTGACATTCAACTTATTAAGACTTGGGAAAATTTATTTGACAAATGTCTGAGAGTTTGTTCAGGGCTGCGACAGGAATCTGTGAGTATTCAGGAAATTTTTTTCAAGTGAGAGGACTTCTTGATTTTTTTTGAAATTTTTTTCTCACAAATATAATTCTGAATGATTCACCAAGCAAGTCATTGTCCTTGATTTAGAAACCTGGCCGTTATTTTTGTGAAAATAATTTTAAAATTATGAGTTACGATAGCATATAAATCGGGTTTATATTTTCACACGAACTCTCCGCGGGCCGTTTTTGCCATCAAAATTAAATACACTAGCTAATATCTCGCATTGTTATTATTCACTCGTAAATTTCAGAAAAGTATGCTTCAGATATGAAATCACCACAAGTAGCATTATTATTTTTATAGTCCGCCGAAACTGTCATTTTTGAGAGAATGCAGGGCAAAGCTTCCATCCCTTTCAGAATTTTGAGATACAGGATTTTTTTTCGAAATACTGTACGTGCACATAAACTAAAGGTGAGGTATGTCTTTCTATATAGGATTATTTTTTTTTTCAAAAATGAGAAGTTCATGATCACGTCGCATTTGGACAGAATTATTTGACGTTTTCCATTTATTTGATATCCACTAACTCCTGAGATTTATGATGGCTCAAAATGTCGCGATCCACGCTTTGAATTCGTGTTAATAAAATGTGAAGTTACACGTGGAAATTTTCAATAGTTTATAATTTTCCAGATAATTTCGTCAGACACTTACCAGAGAGTTCATGATGATTTCGGTGATTTTTCGTTTAATTGACGAGCGTGGCACACGAAAAAATGCAGCTGGCTTGCTTAGCTAACCTTGAAGTCTCAGGCAAACTACAGAAGCAACTGATGCCTGCCCCAGACCTTCCCAGTCTGTTTTATAAGCCCCAGCAGATCGACTCTCTCATAGCCTCGCCCAAAAACTAGTTTCCGGTTCTCCAAACCCCTCAATCTCACAAGTCATTCACGCGGATGGCCTTACTTCCTTGTCCCAATTTCCATGGTTCTTATGTTTCTCTCTCTCTCTCTTTTCTTCCTTTTCCTTTTTTGTCTGATTTCTTAATTATTTGTCTCAGAGCACAGAAATGTTTGTGCACTTTTTTGTATAGGATAATGGCCGTTTGATGATTGTTACTTTTAAAATTTTCAGTGTTGTGAGACAATTGCCTTAGAACACAGCAATTTTTGTGGCCTTTGTCACAGGCAAGGATTCTCATTTGACTGCTGTTGCATCTGCTATCCATAGGAGATTGTTCCCCCAGATCCTTCTGGGGGGATGGTCCTACAGGAAAAATCCCCCCAGCCATCCCCTATAGATGAAGGGGCGAGATGGGCCCTCCAGGTGCAGCCCCCTCCTCATTTTTCATTACAACCATCTGGAGGTGCCATTCCCTCATGAAGTCTATTGCCAGACAGACTTACATAAAGTACAGCTGTAAAAATTGTGTTTTTACCCCTCATGCAACCATGATCTTCTGCAGGCATCTTGTGTGTGTAATAACAGTTGATCATTACATATTTGCCTCACAAAGTCTTGCAAAGTCTGTCTGCTAACAGATGTCTGCTGTGTTATGTCTATCATTAGACAGTGTTTTCCATTGAATTTTGCTGCAGAATTGAAGGAATTGTTATGCTTTCTTCTCATTTCACAGCAATTTCCTTCTGCAGGCATGATGTATGTGTAATGAGGGTTGATCATTATATATTTGCCTTACCAGCCCATGCAAAGTCTGTTGTCCAACATGTTTATATTGTGTACTGTTTGTTGTTAAAAGGAAGTATTTGATCATATCCCCTATATACACACACATACCAGGAGAGGCAATCACACACAAAATCCGGCATTCAGCTTTTGACTCCTCCTCCTTACTCCCCTGATTTTGCTCCCTGTGGGTTTTGGTTGTTTCCAACTGTGAAAGAAGGGCTTTGAGGGAAAGTGTTTGGAACAAGGGAAGAGCTGATTTCTGCTGTGACTGCTGAGGAGCTGGAAAACATTGAAAAAGAAAGTTTCTCTCACTGCTTTCAACAATGGGTGCATTGACTTGAAAAGTGCATTGCCATTGGTGGGAAATACATTGAACAGAGCTGAAGATTTTTTCCTGTGTTTCTTGAATGTTTTTTGTCAATAAGAAAATTTTTTTGACCCAAAAGTTTTTTTTTTCATTTTCATTCCAAGAACTTCTGTTAGAATGGGTGGGCACAGCACCAGAAAAAACTCATTCAATTTTTTTTCCCAGTTTCCATTTTTGTCTTGGGATGAAAAAAAATTGGTTCTAGGTTAAAAAAAGGATGAGGAATCCAATAAAAAACTGTTCATTCACCTCCGTTGATGGCTTGTGGTCAACTCCGAGAACTTTCGTTAGAACCCTCATATACTCTATATGGAACATTTTATTCATAGCATATGCGTTATGGCACTGATTTCTTTGAAATGCATTTAAACAAGACAAGTATTTTTAGACTGCTTATCCTGACATAAGTGGAATGAAGTTCCATGTTTAAAAAAAAATTCGAATCGTTTTCCTTTGTTTTTATGTCATCACTACAAATATAATATCTTTGCTTTGAACTTAAAGTTAGCCTTTTTGCTTCATGATCTTGTCTACCATCCTGCAGAGGAAATGAAAAATCAAGGCAAGCAAACATCACCTTCGCGTCTGGTAGAATTTTAGATGAACAATATTCGAGAATACTTTGTTAATGAGGAAGCATACATTTGTTCTTAAAATTAATACCAAGGAAAAAAACATAACTTTTCCTTGAAACTACAGGTTGCGAGTGCTAAAATCGCATTATTTGGTTTGACGATTGACACCTTAATTCTACTGCATATATAGATTGGACAATAGTCGTTGAGTGAGGTGTATCGTGTATGAACTCCAAAAAGTCAGGATCAGTCTAAAAATATGCAGAATGGAAACAACTCTGGAGACATTTTATGTCTTTCTAAGATTTTCTATTTTTTATTTTGTCATGGTACATAAAACTTTGTTAGTTTCAGTTATGAAACTAGCCGTAATACTCGGTTTTTTTTTCAGAATATATACAGATAATTGCAAACTATGAGTTATGAAACGATTGTCTTCGAGTTCTGTTCTCCAACTCGTCGTGGAAGAACGAGGATTAATTTGGTGAATCATTGGTAAGTAAATCTCGTAATTTCCATTTCGCAATATTCATTTCGTTTTCATTGTACGAGAAATACAACCGACGGCAAGAATACAGAGGAAACTATAGAAGTGGGACAATAACAACTTCGGCGTGAGGCGAAAAACAAGCATTTTTTTTTTCCACAACGATTGAACGAAAGAAACGCTTGCTGGTTTTCAGTTCGTAAAAAACTATGTACCTTAACTATAAAAAAAACACTTCTTAATAGTGTCCGTAGGCCAGGCGACCATCGGGGTATCCGTAGGGGCCAGCAGGCTTGATGTAGGCGGGGTACGCATAAGACGGAGCTGGGAGGTACGCGTCGACTCGCTTAGTGAGGTGGATGTCTGGTCGTGGGATGGCATAGGCGCCGACAGAGTGCGCCAAAATCGGGGCGGTCACGTCGTAGGCGGCCTTGACGACGGGCAAGAAGTCCTTGGGGGCGGTCGGGGCCAGGGACGAGCGGAAGCCGTATTCGTCAGCGACGTAGTTGTTGGTCAAGATGGAGCCATCGGGCAGGGGGTGCCTGTGATGGTACAGTATTAAAAAATACGTATTCAATAATTCATTTCGTATTTTTGGATATGTAAGAAAAAAAAACCATCGAAGAAAATAGTGTTGATCCAGTGCTGCTTCTGTAATAAAAAAAGCTCGGTTTTCCTATATAAAGAACAGAAAGAAGTTAGTGGCAGCTGAACCGAATGAAATTATTTTCAATCATTTCAAGAGAACAAAATATTGAAAACCAAATCAAGACAAAGTGTAAAGGTGATTTCGAACTCACGAGTAGGTGCCAACAACGGTGCCGTCGGCGTGACGAGTCTCCTCCTTGGCACCATTGGGCTCGGCGTAACCGTATTTGTATTGTCCCAACTTGTCCTGGCTGTGGTACTGACTGCGTGCCACGAGGGAAGTCTTGTGGACCACGGGTGCCAAATATTGCTTCTCGTAATGGCCGTAGCCGAGAGGCAACACGCTGGCCATGCAGGCAGCGAAGCACAAAGGCAGCAAGATCTGGACGTGTGGGAATGGAAAATATTGAACTGTCCATCAGAATTGAATAATAGCAGCGGTTTGCTAAATTTAATGGACAGCCGATGATTTGCAGATGAAACTAGAGTATAAGATAGAAATTATTCTCCTGCCTGCATTCTTTCTCAGCTCAAGGATCAAACTTTTCTGTGGACAATCCTTCATGTTCCAGTTCGTTAATGTGCGATCGCCATTTTCAAATTTATTCATCGGTCATCGTTTGGGCAAGTTTTGAAAAATTCATTCAAAGGAAGAATAATGGAATGAATCGTTTGACATGCAAAGCAAATGTTCTTGTGATGCTAGTCCAAATTTTCTTTTCTTTGATACATGGTTTGACACTCATCATCTCAGCATGAAAATTTATTCGAAATTCATGGAGTTCGTTGCGAGGATTTTTACTATTATAAGTGCTGATTTTTTGAAAATCTTTATTGATGAAAATTCACTTCCACTGCAGCAGTTTTTCAGTTCAAATCCCTTCTTATTCCATTCAAATAAAATACATTATTTTACCATATGTAAAGTTTTTTTCAGATGTAACTTCTAAATTTCTTATTCATTGCTGTATTGCAATGCAAGAATACATTTGGCCTCTAAATGTTTTCTGCGGGTCGCGGAAATGGGCTGATTTGCCTCATCGGGAGCAGCTTAAATTTTGCCAATGGTCTTCAGTGAGGTTTCTTTTTCTTCTCTTGCTTGAAACATTCAAAATATGTGTAAACAAATCAGAATAAAAAAATCAAAATTCTCACGACTTTGGACAGAATGTTAGGATTATTAGGCTTAGTGGGCAGCATAGCTGTCTAAACAAAATTCAACTGTGAAATTATGAAATGGAAATATTTTAAAATTTCTAAAAGACCTGAAGATGAGAAAATTTAACGCCACAAGCATGTTATGTTTTTTGCGTACGATTGCTGAATTATTTTTAAGAGGCAGGAAAAAAAGACTTCGTAGACCAGGATCAACAGACTGTCGATCATCCATCATTATCACTGTTATAGTTTTGTCACTTCCATTGATGGTTTGACGACAGAAACTTGAAAAAATCCAAAAATAACCTCCTTGCTGCTGTCTGATCTTCAGAGCACAACAAGCTTAGAGGAAGAAAAAGTGAAGAATCAAGGGACTCACCAAGGAGTTCATGTCGAATATTTGTCGGTTATGAGAAACTTGAGTTTTCACAAAAAAGCTATGAAGTCCCAGCAATCCTGCGATTTGGCGGCTACTGAAGGAACAACTTCTGAGCGAATGTGTGCCCAAATCAGAAATCCGCTCTGTTTATATACTCCTGTGGCCGCCGCCCTTTGGGAAACTGCATGCATGTAGACCCAGTCGGATCTCGGAAGCGAACCCGCCCCTGTGGCACTACGTACCCGCCGGGACAGCGATATTTCATTTACCGAAGAACGGTCAAGAAATTAATGTTTGACATCATCACTGCAGTGAGCTAAGTGAACAGTATTGGTCAGTCGAAATAAGTCTGGGTTTGATACAAGTGAGCCGAGAGAAGATTCGACCGAAATATTCGATGGTGCCAAGGTTAATGGACCATAATTTTCAACTGGAAGCCCCCACGTACCCAAAAATCTGGTTCCTAATTATCGAAATTATACAGTAATTTAAAGGTGCGTAGAACAGCCAAGTTGCAGATAGACTCCTAAATATTCCCTAAATTTATTTGTGGTTCGATTTTCACACAGCTCTTATTTTTGACAGAAAGTTAAGTTTGGGCTTTGAACAAAGTCAATGTTTGAAGAAGAATTAGGCCAGAACTCTGACAACAACCATTTATTTCAAAACAATTCACAAGATGGGAGAGTACATTCACAATTCACAGCTAAAATAGGTCTGATGCTTTCCACACAAAATTCAACCTTTTCATACACAGAAACCAAAATCATGGAGAAAATAAAACCCAGCAATCACAAGAAAACCAGTCACATAAACCAGGTTTCTGAGCCTCCAAGTTGGCATCCCGAGGTGAGCAAACCAGGCGCTAAAATAAAACTTCTTTCCCTTCCTTTTCCTGTCTACAATAAAAAGAAAACACACAGCAAACCAAGGTTAGAGCACTCTGGAATGGTTTGAGAATCTTCCAGCCCTTTCTGGGCTTCCAGCCCGAAGTTTTCTGTGTCTCAAAGTAAACAGGATCAGCTCACTGGTAAAACCACCTGATTGCCTCAGAGATTAAAATTTGCTTCCCTGAAATTGCGGAAGGAATCGCTCTGGTAATTTCTCCTCTCATAGTTTCCACCACAGTTATTACATTCTTCATCCTGTCATTACCTGGAATGGTTAATTTCTTTTGGCTTCCTGTTCATGAATTGTTTTATACATGTTTATTGTGAAAATATATTGCCAAGCCAACTCTTATGCCATGTTTTTGACACGGTTTATTGGCAATTCCCAAAGTTCAAGACTTTAGGGATTATGTTTTGTGAAAGGCCATGCCAATGTGGATTGGCATGCTGAAAGACAAATGGCAAACCATCTGGTTGCAGTTAAGCTGCCAGAGAGATAGTCTCCCTGGAGAACTGGGGTCCTTCAGTTTTATGAGAAACCAAATTACCCAAAAACACCAGAATTTGACACTTGCTGCACATGAGTCTGTACAAACATAGATGCAAAGAACCTGTGTTGAATTTTTGCCTGAAATAAAGAGCTGAATTCTTTCTTGTGGGTTTTTTCAAACTTTTCCTATTCATTCCGAAAAATACAAATGTTTGGGAAGCAATCTTTTTAACATATTGTGACCCAATAAATTGGCCCTCCTGTCAGTTTGGCCAAATTTACCAGGATCCTGCAGAAGTCCTCAACACTGCTGATGATGAGACCCCCAAAAAGACTGGGGCAGAAAATGCACAAAACCCAACTGATGCAAGGACTAGCATCATCAAACAGACCTGACCCCATCACTACAACACTCTGACATTTTGGCAAACACTTTTGAATATCTGAAATTACACTTTGTGTTGTGTTTCATCTTGATGCATAGCAATTGCTGTTTTCCAGTTGTGAAATTAAGTTTGTAAAAAGTGTTATATTCTATTGAAGTGTGAGAACACATTTGCACTTATCTTTGACAGGTTGTCTAATTGTCTACAGTTCATTTTCCATCCAAAAAAAATTCATGAAGACTTCCTTTGGGCATACACTGAGAAATTTCCATACCTACCCACTTTTGAAATAATCAATCTCTACTCTGTAAAAGCTTGAATATGTACTTTTCTCTTCTGGATTTTTTCCAGACAAAATGTGTACACTTACTGCATTACAATACTTTACATATGCATTTGACATTGAAAATTCAGAATGAAAATTTTGAGACAATGCAAAAATTTGCTGCACACTGTCAAAAATTGCATACAAAGTGATCAGCTTGACAAATTATTTCAATTGACCAATAAAAACTCCATTCACAATGAAGGTCACATTTCAATATTCATTTTTTGGGTTACTGTTGTTGGGTCATGCTGGGGCCACTCTGTAGCCCCCAAGTGTAGCATCTTTGCAGAGGATAGGAAAAACTTAATACCAGGCATGGATTGGCATGATGGAAGTGCCTGTTACCTTTCAAAACAGGTTTCCACTAATATATTGCCATTTCTGGCCTGTCAGGCCAGAATGACAAATAATTATCAGAATAAATGAACACCTCTCTCAGCCTTTAATGGCCTGATCCTCCTTATGGGAGTCCCTGAGAAGACTGTCTTTACTCCACAGCAACTCAAGCAAACACACAAGACCAACACAACAACTCCAAAGTAAATCCCAACTACCAAAGTCCGAATACAGCAGTGAACACAGGAATCCTAGACCGTCCTCCTGCCACAATGATCCCGATGCTAATAATTCTATCTCGTGTCCCAAAGCCCTTGCTTTGGGAGCACCTGATTGCTATCTTAATTATTGCGCCATCTTGCCACCCGGTTTGCCGCATTGCGGTGAACCGGGCGCAAGGTCCAGATTCCTTCCTTTGTCTTTCTTGCCATGCTGGCGCGCCTGGGAGAGGATGCTACCCAGGTCACGCCGCGTGGCTTTCCTTGCTTCCGCGACCCCACATGGCCAACTCCAAGGCAAAGCCAGCAAGGCCCAGAGATGGACACTTGCAAACTTTGCCTGCTTGTGAAAGGACCTCCCTGAGGAACTCTCAGTGTGTGCTGTTTCTGGCTAAATTGATTCCCTGTGTGACCCATTGTCATGGATTGAAAGTCTTGTGTGTTAAGATTATACTGTCTGCTATTTGCTTGACTTGTGTGTCTGTGTGATCATTAAATTGAGTAGTCTTGGCACTCCAATAAATATGATCTGGCCTCATCAAGGCTGATTACTGTGTTCTGAATTCTTTCCACCTACTTTGTTGAATTCCGGCCCAACAACTGTTTCCAAATTCAATTACCCAAAGAAAGAATTCTTACCCTGAGCATAAGAAATAGACTGTTTGGAAAATATGTTGATGATGATGATTCTCTTTCAACGGCAAATGCAGCACGATGTTCTTGAAATATGCAGCAAAAAAAATGAAAATAAAATGCGAAGAAACTTCAGAGTCACTTGTGCTTTCATTTAAAAATGCCATTCGATGTTTTCCTCCTCGACATGAACAAACAGACAGGAATATGCAGACACGTCAGAGTACAAAATAAAAACGTTTCCACCCGGGTTCGCAACAACCAGGTCCTCATCAGAAGGACGTAAAAACACGCTGAACTAGAAGCAATTTTCAAGAACTCGTGTCCTCTGTACAATCAAGGACCCGAATTCTCAAAAAATCACCAGGTTTTTTTTTTCTTTTTCTCATCCGTGTGAAAGACTTAGTAATATTTGCGGTATGCGTTGTATGGGGCCAGAGCTGGGACACCGTAGCCAT